TTGCATCACTCGATGCTGATTGTTGATGATTGCTTATTTCCTGTGATTGCTAATTTCCCACGATATAACATAAAATAAATAAGGAGCTAGGTGGCACAATGGTGTGGGGGAGCGCAGGTTGTTCTTCTGGAAAATTGATATTTCCATACAGCATACCATAAGGCACTACTGCACCAAATTTCATGACAATATTTCAAGATTTGAGCAAGTTACAGGATTTTTTTTTTTTTGCAAGGTTACGATTCTGTGACAATAATCATCTAGGTCATGACTGTTATCTGTCAACATTTCTGTACAAATTCTCCACATAGCTGAAAATTGGCTGGTCTTTTAAGGTTTTTTCAATGCACGACCCCATTATAGCTGAGGAAGAGACCCTTCTCACAAGCAGCGATGGTGAAAGCGAATTTGAGGCTGAAGATTCATGATGTCTCGATTGATGAACTCAGTGGAGCTGGCCCTTCTTAATTTTGTCCCCTTTTCTCCTAGACATGTACTGAGGGGGCTTATAAACTTTTTCAACATAAATATGATTTTTTTAAAAAAAAATAATAATCTTCCAGTAGTTCCCTTTCCTTGATAGCCTGTAGTTCTCTTGAAAAACGACTTCTGTAGCGCTTTTGTAAATCTCATTTTAAATATGTCAAATACTGTATTTCAGTAAATGCAATGGTACCAACCTCTAAATGAGGGTTTGATCTATCATTTTTGTCAAACCCATGATCTCAAAATCTTTAGTATATAGCTGGTAATCATTAGAGTACCTGTACAGCAAGAGTATAGACAGGTGTGAAACTCAGAAAATTAAATCCATCAGGCCTTCACCGATGCCTGCGCAAACAAGGTTAGGGCCCAAAAGGGCAGCCAACCTATGAATTACATACATCCAGAACGATTTATTATCATAATTGAGGACACCGCACCAAGAACAGCCTATAGGCGTATAGGTCGTTATTACGCCCATCTGCTCTTCGGATTCTACGTACTCTGAACCATGCTGTGGTAGCGATAGAATATAGATAGGTAACGGCTCGAGGTCGAAAAACCTTTTTTTCCCGAGTTAAGTCAGGCCTCTGGATCGATGGGTGCAAGAACTACCTATACGCGCGGCCGTATCATTCTCGGTTCGCGGGGTTTTTTAAACCAAAGAAGACTGAATTATTTTATTTTTTGATCTCATTTTGTAAAGATGTGTATTTATTTCAGAAAAACGAGCTATTGAAATAATTTATTCTCCTCTCAAACTATCCATTCCTCCAAAAATGTATACTTTGCATATTGCCACCAAAATGACTGTTGGGCGTAATACGGGCCTATAAACTTAAGGGCCTATAAGGTGCTAGTTACCACTTTCTTTACTCACTATCGATATTCTTTCATTTTGCGTTAATCATGCGTGATCAAAATGATTTATACTTCATATTGCCACAAAAATGACTGTTGGGCGTAATAATGACCTATAACCCGTTTTTTTAAATTAAATAAATTAGAGTGTAAACCCAAAATGTATCGCAAAATCTACCCGGCATCCTTCAATAGAAGGGTTAGGTCATCCAAAAACACCAAAACAGAGTACCTGCATAGAGAAGTCTGCGCAGTACATCAAAAACAAAACTTTAAATGCGTTTTTCTCAAAACGCGGTTCCCAGTTATAAGCTGTTCTTGGTGCGGTGTCCTCAATTGTCACAACCTGTTGTTTGCAAAGAACGTATTTGACATAGTTTTTGCATAAATTTACTAATTTTTGAAGAACGCACATTTATGAACTTTCTTTGCCATCTTGATTTGAATTGTAGTCTGAAGATTGGCTGTGAAATTTTGTGTGTTAAAGAGCTGGCTACCCGTTTGGGCCCTAAACCCTCCATGAAGCAAGCTGTCCATACTCTCAGTATACAGGTACTCTAGGAATCATGTCTTAAAGTATTCAACCTTCGTTTTCTCAAACCGCTATTTTCTGACTTATGCCGTTTTTCCACCTAAATCCTCAAATGTGATGATCTGAAAAAGTCCGACTTAATTTTCAAAGTAAACTCTTCAAGCAAAAGAAAATGAGTGAATCTGCTGGAAAAGTCACCTTTTAATATTTGAACTTGCATTAAAAAATCCCATCTCTTCCTGAAACAGATAGAATTTTTCTTAAACTTCTTAATCCACACCCTTCTCATTTAAGTATGCCCTAGGTACTATCAGTGGGCACTTTACAGTGGGCCTCAGTTCAATCTCGATCTGACGTCTTCAGGATGCGTTTACTGATTTCATCGAATTTGTTATTTTTTAGGGAGAGGACTTCTTTTTGTCGGAAGATGCTTGCAAGTAGTTCTTCGTCACGATGGATATCGTTTGGCTTTCATCAAAGTTGGAGGGCCTTCAACATTGTTGAAAATCCTTGCCTCCAGACAAGTAAATTTCCAAATTCAGTACCAACTTATGTTCTGTCTTCGGTTACTGCCTTTCAACCCTAAATTTGCTCAAAAAATGAACAAGTGAGTATATACAAATAAGTCTAAAAGTGTTAATTGTCTGTTGAAGAAGAATTTTGTTTTTAAATTGTTGAAATATCAGGTCAGATAGCCTTATCATGCCATAATTGTTTTAAATTCCTCGCTAGGGACCGTCATGTAGGAAGTCCGGGTGACAATCGGCTCGGTCTATGAAAATAATAGGCTGTATAAAATTTGAGCCAATTTGAAGCTTTTTTAGATGATGTTCAAAGGGATTAAAACTGTGGGCAAAATTACATTGGTTTGAATGGGCGGAAAAACGCCTGATCTGCGAAAATGCATTTCTTGGATCTTAAATGCGCTGAAATGAAGAAAACCTGTCCAGCTCCTAGAGAGGCATCTAGGGGCCCATTGGAAACGAGAAAATCACACTTTTGATCCATGAGTGGGGACAGCAGGGTCATGACATCGCTGGTTTTGAGGCGCTGCGCCCACAGCTAAGTGATCGCTTTTGAGACTTTCAGATCAAACTCAAAATAAGTGTTCCGAAGTTGAAGAGGCAAATGTATCTCACAACTTGATGAGAAATACTGTATAAAAGTTGTTTCAGCCCTTGAGAACTATACTTGGCCCTTTACAATGTTGCCTCATACTATTTCTCGAGCCTAGAATGAAATTAGTGTATATATTTTATCTTGCACTTGAGTGATCTCCCCTACCGTCACCCATGGGTCAAAAGTGTGATTTTCCCGTTTTGAAAAGGCCCCTGGATGCTACTCTTAGAGCTGGTCAGGTTTTCTTCATTTAAGCGCATATTAGATCCGTAAAACGCATTTTTGCTGATCAGGCGTTTTTCCGCCCATTCAAACCAATGTAATTTTACCCATATTTTTTATCCCTTTGAGTACTATTTAAAAAAGCTTCTAATTGGCTCAAATTTTCTACAGCCTATCATTTTCATAGATATAACCGATTGCCTCCCGGACCTCGTCGATTTTCCTCCATGACAGAAATAAGCCGCACCCTAATGGTACCTCTAACTCAAATATCAGGCTAGAAGACCAGTTGAAAAAGAACAAGTTTAAAGGTGGGAGCGGTTCATTATAAATCAGAAACCCTTCCCTAGAATATGGATGATTGTTTAATATGTTACTAATTAGTATAATTTCAATGTATTAAACAAATTGCTGTCCTGTATGGTATTGTTACTAAATCTAGAACTTTTCCAGGCCGTATACAATGAGGAAAATGTTCCCTGTCAGTCTAATATCAAGGGATTAACAAGGAAATGATTTGATCGTATAGTCTGGTTGAGAGAAAAGTTCATGCGTAGTAAGAAAAGACAATAAGAAAATGAAGCTACCTCTATTTTTTCCTCTTCACTCTAACATAATTCTGGTTGCTCTTAAATTCACAGATTAGGCGTCATTCCAATCCTAGCAGATATTCTCAGTGACTCTGTGAAAGAAAAAGTTACCCGCATCATCTTGGCTGTATTCAGGGTAAGTTGGCTTTTATACCCACCCATTCTTTCATGCCGGCCCTACACACTTGCGCAGAGGGTGCATTCAAAGCATTGATGCCTGCTTGATCATATTTAAAGAATGATTGCAGATAGTTAGTTAGTTAATTTAATTAGAGTCATTCAGCATCACAGACTACAGTAAAACCTCGCTAAGTCGGTTTTCATCGGGACCGAGGAAATTTACCGAGTTAAGCGGGTTACCGACTTACGCGGACTGCCACTTTTCCTGCCGCGCTTTTTCAAATTTCGCGCCCTAAATTGGACAAACGCAAACGTGCGTGTAGAGTGACTTGTAGGAGTGTTTAGGAAAGCCATTTGATCGAAGAAAATGGTACTAAATAGTAAAATTTCATGAGATGCACTTGAAATTGCGTGTTGTAAGTGTCAGGGCATCATGAAGTCATCGGGTTAGTCGTTTGTTGGGGTGCCGCGCGGTGATGCGCCGCGGCCGCCCGCTGAGTGGCGGGTCGTTGCACTGAAAATGCAACGTAAACAATACTCGCTAAAATCCTCGAAAAACTCCTCGGGGGAGCGGGGAACGGCAATGCAAGATGGTAGGGGGAGAGGGGCGCGTGCCGATACGAGCGGGCTGAGTGGGGATCGGAGGGAGGAGGAGAGGGGCTCGTGCCGATACGAGCGGGCTGAGTGGGGATGGGAGGGAGGAGGAGAGGGGGAGCTGATGTCGTCTCTCGCACTGCGCTGCGCTCTCTTGGAGATTCGCTTACCCTTCGTGGCGTAACTTGACCCGACCCGCACCGCGCACGGAAACACTACCTACGCTTGATCTCGGGTGACGATCGAAGAAAAACAGGTCGAGATGAAAAAATTTCACCGAGTTAAGCGGGTTCAGAATCTGACCAAACCGAGATACCGAGACTTATTTAGCATTGTGTTATATGGGTGATAAACGGGACCGGGCGATTCTACCGACTAAAGCGGGTTACCGGCTTATCCGGAAACCGACTTAGCGAGGTTTTACTGTATTAATGTTTTTACAGAAAACATGAAGAGTGAGTAAAAATAAAAAAATTTGATTCTTAACTTAGTGGAAGCAAAAAATTTCAAAATCTTGATTATCACTGACATCATCTTCGGTTAATTTACAAATAGTTTGAACATGTATATCTATATTATGCCACTAACGCAGTGTACTGTAGCGCTCTGCAACTCCTAATCGCCATTAAAACCGATTCTGCCACTCGATATCTGCAACCGTTCAAAAGTTATGTCGAAAAGTTGATTTTTCTTTGACCCCCCTTTTCTTGGGGGCTGGATCAAAAACTCCGCCATTATTGAACTTCTGTAACCTTCCTTTACAAAAGGTGAGGGTATGACAAGATTCCGCTCTGGGTCAAATTCTCATGGGAGGTGCATATAATACCTCTTTGTGAAAATCGGTAGAAGTTCAGATATGGATTGTTTGTGTCAATGTAAGGTGGAAAGTAATCAGTATTTCTTTCCCTCACCTCTTAAATGTTAGAAGTTGAGGAAGTAACAAGAGGGGAAAAAGTTCGTTGATTCGAGTTCAGCAATTTTTTTGCCTGCATGTCGTAAAAATTAACGTCTACTTGTCATAGGAATGTTGGTGGTGCAGGCTAAAAAATAATTTGCTCTTGTGCTTTCTGTCTCTTTCCCTCCAAATGGAATCGCCTGTGAATTGAATGGAATTAGTCAAGTTAGGGTTAGTTGGGGTCATTCCATAATAGGATGATTCTGGATTGGTCTCACTGCGGTTGTCGTTTCAAAGTCAGAGAATTTTTACATTAGTGTGTTATTGCAAATGATCAGTCGGTCTCATGCAGTGTTTTGATTGACTCTCTTATTTTTTCTTACAAGGTATCCAGGAAAGTATAATCAACAAACTGGGAATCTCTACCTCCAGATGTTGCAAGTAACAGAAAATTTCTATATACGGAGTAACAGAAAATTTCTATATACGGTCAACCCCTGCTAAATCGAACATGTTACCTAAAAATTGGCATAAATCAGTGAGTTTCTGACCAAAAGAGCTCAACCAAGTAGCATTTGAAAGCCAATGAAGTGATTTTCAAGCTTCCATAATCCACATTTGCTGGTTTTATTTGCGGAGGTTGGTGACATGACTTTTGAGATATCCCTCAACTTGGTGAAAGATGAACAAACCCCCCCCCCCTCCTTCCCCCAATAAAAAAAAAATTGTCAAAAACCTAGAAAGTCAACTCATTGTTTTTTGAAGAACAAACAATATGCCTGGCCTAAACAACTTGAAGGTGTGTTTTCCTGTCCAGAGATGATTAATAGTTTCTTTTTTTTTTTCTTGCTTTGTTCGCTTTTTAGAACTTAATCGAAAAACCAGAAGAGCCGAACATTGCAAAGGAACATTGTATTTCAATAGTACAGAGTAAAGTATTAAAGCAGCTGAGTATTTTGGAGCAACACAAACTCGATGATGAAGACATTGTAGAAGATGTTCAGTTTCTCAACGAAAAATTGCAGGCATCCGTTCAAGATTTAAGGTATCTGGTAACTCTATTTTCTCTCCCACTATAGTAATCGGCATCCTACAAGTGAGTGGGTGTATTTACTGGTCCTTCTACCTAGTAGTTGCATACACCACATCTTGAAGGAGAACTACGGGTGGGGAAAAGTGTATCCCTGTGGTGAAGCACCTCGGAAAAAATTAACAATTGTAGTACAGCCTGTAAAATTTATGTATTTTAAATGTGGGTTCAAAAAAGTCCGGTTTGATAACCCATGTGTGTAACAACGGTCAGTAAAGCTAGGGCTAAGCCAGAGACAACATTTTTAGAGATGTTGCACTCTCCATCCTCCCAAAGAGAAAAAGTAATTTTGGGAATCATTAATTACTTTTTGCCTAATGATGATTCATGAAATCAGTGAATAATCTGTTGAAATATGATGTAGATCAACAAACTTGCTTTGTAAAATGTTCAACAGGTTATTCCGAAGTTATCATCTGCTAAGAATGGAGGCAAAAAATACTACCGTGTTAAAGAAGTATGCTGTAGGAGCCATCAGCCATCGCCAAAGCTCCTTTAATAGAATACAAAGAAATATGTGAATATTTTTTCTCCAATTTTTCAGAGAGATTTATCTGCAATCGGACCTCAGTTATCTGCAAATTCTAAGAGACAATATTCATAAATCTTCTCAAATATGAACATTTAATCGGAGGAAATTTGGCAACTCTCGAATGTTCATACGGTGTTTCTCCTTAGTACAATAGAGTAGCTCATATATTACTAAATTGAAGTACGAAGTCTCTTAATGACATTTTCTCCACCGCAAAGAGTGATAATTTACGATGTATCTTTGGAAGACCATTGTCTGTAGTGTGTGTGGTATTTATTAGAGTACCTTTATAGCGAGAGTATAGACTGATGCGAAACTCCGGAAATCCATCAGGCCTTCACCGATGCCTCCGCGAATAAAGTTAGGGCCCAGAAATGCAGCCAACCTATGAATTTCAATTATCCAGAGGGATTTACTAATACAATTGTTACAAACGATCGTTTACGAAGCACGTATTTGACTTAGTTTTTGCACAAATTTACTCATTTTGCGGAAGAACGCTCATTTATGTACATTCTTAGCCATCTTGGTTAGAATTGAAATCTGCAGACTGGCAGTGAAATTTTGTGTGTTAGAAGTTGGTTAAAAGGGTGGCTGCTCTTTTGGGCCCTAAGCCCTCCATGATGCAATCTGTCCATACTCTCGCTATATAGGCACTCTAGTATTTACTATCAAGAAAGTAAATACTGCAATTTGAAATAATTTTTTTCATTTTTACTTATAGTTCTTTTGATGAATATGCCACTGAAGTAAAATGTGGGTGACTAGAGAGGCCTCTAGTCCACTGGTCTGCTCAGTTCTGGAGAGAAAATGCAGCACGTTTGAATGAGCGCAACTATGAGTTCTTTGCTGTCTGGTCTCTTTACTTGATACTTCCAAGGATGCTTTGGTGTTCAGCGTTGCATCCTTTGATGTTGGTGAATACGTCCGTCACTATTCGCGAGGCAAACAGTAAGTAATAATTGACAATTTTTAAATTAAATCAAGATTTAAAAACAATTCTTCGGAGAAGTTTTGGTTTACATGCTCTGACATTCTTACCGTTTGACGAATGACATTTTCGATGAAATTGAGGATGGACTGCTGGGGTTAATCAACAAGGATCAGT